GCAACTTCATTTCTCTATGAGATTTTTAAGTACAACAATATGTAATAGCTATTAGAAATGTATCATAGATAATATACTTTCAGGCATGGCAAAATTTTAGAATATTGAAATAAAAACAATACATTAATGAATCTTTAAAATATTGAAAGCATTCAAACTTTATACTAATATGATCATCTCTCTTAATGAATCTTTCAACATAATTAAACTTTCTTCTTCATTTTGATGATCTTGTACTAAATTAATGTGAACATCTCTTTGAAGAATATATCTGATCTTTATCAAAGTGAAGAACATATCATGTCACTATCTTTTCTATGATTTCTTATGGAAAAGATGAAGAATAATTTTTATTTTTTTTAAAGAAAAAAAAACTACACTATTATAAAGAAAGAATGAGAAAAAAACTACACTAATAGAAAGAAAGAATGTGAAAAATGAAAAATGAATATTCAACATTTTCATGGATGATTGTAATTTATAGATTTGATAATCCATAAGAATAAGTTGAAGAGACATGTTATTTAAGTATAGAATATGAATAGATGGAGGTTTTTTGTAACTCATTAGATTAAATTAGAATAGTAAATATGATTGTTTTTTTAATTTAATAAATAAAATATTTAATGAAAAGAATTAAGAAAAAAATATCAAAAAAGGAGAAAAAAGAATGGAGGCCATAGAGAGGTGCCACATACACCTTATCTGTGTTTCCCCTTTAACATTTATCAAGTAGCATTGATGGATTTCTCTGGCAGAAACCACATTCGTAGGCCGACAATTTTTCTGGATAGGTCGAACTATTGGAAGAAAATAGAAAAGGAAGACCGAGTGGGATCAAAGAAACTAGCGGGCTGATCACTAAATAGATACAAATAGGTGCAAATTCTGACATCACCAACTTCAATTCACCAAACCAAGGTTCATCTCGTGTAATCATTGTGGACTTGTACAAGGATATTGAGTAGACGGTTGATGTATCAGACTCGACCCTATCTTTCGTAGCATGCATTCCCATCCGTGTCGTAACTGATTCGGTAAGCTACGTGTCCGGTGCACGGAGAACTGCCTTCGGTCCCCCAAACTTACTTACTCGTGGCAACCTTCCGGCCGCCCAACGACCTATAACGCTAGTCACTACTCCCACTGGGGCTAGGAAGTAAGCCCCACAACCCAAAGCGGCGAAGAACAAATAGAATGGTTGCCCCCCGTCCTTTCTTTCTATCAGTCTCACCCAGAAAGCCACCCCAACCCTATAGCCAAAAAAGGTAAGCGCCTAGCGCGGAGGGACAAAAGAGAGATGCTTTCTATCAGTCAAAAGCAGATATCGCCCCCCATGCTCCCACGGTCCGCTTACCGAGGAATAGAAAGGAAGGACCCAGGGCCAGTTCCTTACAGTCAAGTGGCTTTCCGCTCCTGCATTAAGATTGAAAACGAAAGCTTGTCGTAAAAAAAAAAGGCAATCAATCAGAAAAAAGAAAAAATATGGAAATAGTGAATCAAGATCTAGATGGATCCCTATCTTTATCTCTATCCACGGAGATACCTATCTATATGGAGAGAGATCTATCTATGAATCGGCCTAGACTATCCTCTATCCGGAGCGTTTGTCGGTAACCAAAGCCTCACTCTGATTATGTCGTGAGGCTGACGGAATCCAATCCATAAACCCGGAAATGAAACGTTGTTCGATTATACTAGATGTCTAGCACGGGCCCAACACTATCAAATTAAATTGTTGTTCTAACTAAAGAGTAAGCAATTTCACAACAACTTCTCATCAATAATTTTACATGCATTTTATGGAATTATAAGTAGTGAACGAATTTCACTAAAGAAAAGCAAATGATTAATGAAGAAGCATCAATATCTAATAAGAAAAATGTATATATACAAATAATTTTAAATAGTTGAGTCCTTTGCTTCAAATACAACACAAACATAGTCTAATTCAATATTTACAATAAGTTGGAGCTAGATTCCTAAGCTTAGTAGTCAATCCTCTGCATCCCAATAATTACAACGTAGAAGAGCTGGAGGTACCTAGAAAATCAAGCGAATACAAATCAACTAATAAACTTGGACTTGAAAGAACTGAAAAAAATATATATTACAAATTACCAGTAAAATGATGAACAAAAATTATATTTAAGTACAAAAAAAAACATATATGCATATAAGACCTTCAAATATCCATTTATACAAAAATAATAAATTACACATTCAGTTTTTCTTTGTCACTCTCTACACCTTTTTTATTTTAACGAAGGACTTCTAATGCATTTTGGCGGCTAGCTGTTTTCTAACGTTGACATAACTATGTCTTTTATCTCTTTATTACTAACAACTAACATCACTATTTCACAGCATTATAGTTTTAAATATTTTCAAGTTATCACATTTCATAATGGTGTGATCTCCCCATAACAGTGTCTTCCTTCTCAATACTGAATAAGAGAAACACAAGATAATAAATATTTCAAAAATCACCTCTAGTGAGGAGAAGATAACTGTAGAATATTAACTTTTTTTCTTTGTTCTTTGTCTTATACTAACTGCCACTTATTTTTTTAAAAATTGACATCAAAATATTTCATTTAAGCTTCGGATTCATCAGCTCTGGATTATGAATTTGAACTAAAGAGCTATTCAGCTCATGAAGAAAATATAGCAAAGTAATTGATATTCATTTGACTTGTTACATTCTTGCCCTATTCACTTTCTCAAATACATGACATATGCTCCCAAGGTTTCTGATTATAATAACTTTGTTACACAAGGTAGTATATAACTATAAAAGAAAGTCTAGTGCAGATAAGAATTTCTTAAATTATAAGAGAGAATACACTTATTAAAGAGATATTAAATATTTGAATTCTTAGTCTTACCAAAAATCACAGAATTGACAATTCATGTTTTCATTGATTCTCTCCTTTTAAGATCACTTGGAATGAAAAATAATCAATTTTAGAATAGAATTTTTTTCAACAGCTATTTTACCAAATTTCAGAAGACTACAGTAGAACGGGATCCAGTACTAACAAAAACATGCTCACATGTTTAGTTCTCATATCCAAATTGGGATTCACACAACAAAGGGAAAAAATACACGTAATGAAAATGACACCATCTCATAAATCATAACAACACTATATACAAAGAATTTGAAATAGTGGCCTTTCATAATTATCAAGTGTCAGAATAAAATGAAAAATCAAATCCAAATAGATGTTAATATCTACTAAAATCGACTAATCTCATTTGGTTAGAGTCAAGAGTTAATTAAGGTAATCTAACAGAAAGAAGCATATTGACTTACCTGTAAATTGGTCACTGAGGCAGCAAAAACCTTAAATAAGTAGCACACATTTTCTCTAGGGCATCCTCCGTGGTATCGAATGATTGATCATGATCCTGATACTAAGTGAGACTGTTCCATTAATCTAAGAACCTAGTAATGTTTTGTTTCTAGTAATTAAAAAATCCAAAATAAGGAAGACACATAAAAACAGTCGTAAGGAAAGAAGAAAGTCTAAGTTGCATTATATTTCAAGGCTCAAGTTTATCAATTCAAAAGACAGGGAAACAAACAAATATTGAGTTTTTCCGACCAATTTGCACAAAAAAAAGACTAAAACAATGAAATAAATACATCTTGGCTTTCTTTACTCATCCAATGCCGCAACAAAGTCCTCAGTCCTGCTCAAACCCACCAAAGCAAAAATCAACTTTTGGCTTTTACCAAATTCAATTACAATACTAAGAAAGATACACTAAAAAGCCATTGTCTCTTATCAACGAAAACCATGAAGTACCAATATCATTCTCAACAGAACCACAAAATATTTAGTTGATCAAAAAAAAAAAACTCTCTCAAGTAGGTTAGCTGACACATTGATAGGCTCGTAAAGGGGATAAAGTTTACTATAATTTATTACGAAATATGAGAAGTTCTTCCAACTATTAGTAATAACTACTATAAATCTAATATCACTCTCAACTCGACTTAGCATTAACTATACATAAGAGACCATTTAACATACTATTTTAATCACTATAATTCATACTTCTAAACAAATTAAAGATGATGGATTTAAATAACTTGTTGAATTGTAAAATTTCTTTCTGAGAGTTTTGCTGTTCTAAAAAAGAATCAATCTAGACAAAGCTGAAAAATTCTAGACTACACATTATATATTTGTATATAGAGCCTAATATAGATACTAAAGAAGCATGACAAAGGCGATAGCAAATATGCTAGGAGAAAGGAAATACAGGAAAACCTTTGTAAACATTGACAGACCATTATTTAGAAACTCTAAACATCTCAGGCGTTAGTGCTCATGGCTCCAAGAACCTCAAACTTCTTAGCAATTGATAGAAAATATATTTTTAATAAATATGTTGCACTATTAATAGCTTCTAACTGGACATAACAAGTGATTTCTCAGGTGCTTAATCTTAAATAGCTGCATAACATGCAAATTAAAGCTTGCATCTCAAATGATAAGAGCAAGAGATGATTTGGACAACTATACTATGTTATGCCCTCTAGTAGGAAATTCTCTTTGCAGAAAATCTTCAGGTAGCAAGAGCTTGTGATAGTCAAACTGCCTAACCAGTTGATCGATTCAAGGTTGAACCCTATCTCTTTTCTTTGATTTTGACAGAGTTTGTGGATCCCGATGACTATCGGGGGTGAGAAATATTTATCCGACTGTAAATAATTTAAGAAATTAGCAGTTCCCTTAAGACAGAGCCATAATTTCATAAGTGTGCTTCAACACTAAAAATCTTATGTACTGGACCTATCAAGCTTAAATGTTGCATCCGCTTTCATTCGCAATATATATTTCATATCACACATATCAACTTATTTTCATCATATTTACACACTAATTGTGACATTAGTTGAAGCAAACATGTCTTATTGAAGAGAAATAATTAAATTTTACCAGAGTCTCTTTGTCATTCTGTATAGCGATAACAGAGAAAGCAACCTCGGGTTTGATCTTGCTCTCCTCCTTCTCCGGTTTCAAACTTCTTAACAACTGATTAACCCAGTGATTGTTGTATAAACTCCCTCTGAGCTGCTCGCCAAAATACCTCTCTCCATTGTTAAAGATGCTAGCACTCACCCTCCCTAAACATACGCTTCTGTAGACAATCAAGACATCAAGCTTACAATATTATGACTTATCAATGAATTCAAATCAAGTAAATATACTCTAATCCCAAAAAACTGGAAAAATATAGCTAATCTCTAAGCAAGCAAGAAAAATATAGAATACATAAAGAAAATATAACTAATTAAATATATGGTTAGTGACCATATTCAAATAGCATGTTTGAAAAACTCAGCATGAAATTTTCATCACTGAACTATCTAATTGTGTTTCATTTTTTTCGTTATAAGATCATGAATTTAAATGTGTGTGCTCTAAAATATACCAAGTCAATCTCGTTTGCAACTACAAACGTGAACATATATTTTCTCATTAGACTATTTTAACCGGTTGTATATGTTGACTATACAATACGATTCTTGTACTCTTCTGAGTAACAATCTCTCTGTGTTATCGTTTAGTGGAATGTATGCACAATATGACTTAAAGATGAAGAGCTATTTATCGTGTTACCTATAAAAGGAGATATCTAATAATCAAATTAATACAATAAAACTTCTTTTAATATGTAGAAAATTAGCTCCCACTGGATATCATCCTTGCATTTTTGTTACTTGTCTATTTAAAAAAAAAAGTAGATCACCAAGTGGAACAACAAAAGTTGAAAATGAAATATTATTGTTAAATTCAGCTTACTTTAGCTTGGGTTAAAGCTTGATGAACTCCATTAATGGAGAATTCTTCAATATATATATATATATACAGAAATTGGAAACTGCCTAGGATCTCATTATCGTGAAAATTGGTCAAAGAGTCCTACAGATTATATATTTATACAAAGAGAAGGAAAATATATGCCTAACTAACTTGATTCTACAACTATACACAATTGGAAATAATGAGATAAAATATCTAATTAACTCATAACAGACTATAACTAATTTGGAAGCAACACGAATAGTCTCAACACCTATAGTACCTCAAGTCTTGAATGGTAGCCCTAGAATGATCAATATGAAGATAAATTGACTTTCTTATTAAAGTGTCTTTACCCATTTGATGATAAATTCTATCCTGTTACAATCCAAAAAGGAGAATGACAACAGGAAACTCCGAATAAGTTAACTGAGGCATATTATCAAACAACTTGGATGCACAATCCACTTTAAATTTAAGTTATCTTTGAAATTTTAGATTTTTGAAAGACATCTAACTTTATAGAAATAAATTGATTACAAGGACAAAATTCATCAAAGAAACACAAAGCATGTGTGAATCAGGCAATTAAACATGCATGAAGAAATCTTAGCTAGAAATTGTATGCAAAAAATAAGAAACTAAGATACACATACCAAATGATGATTCCTATATTCAAAAGTTATATTAAAAAAAAACCAACCTATATTCATCAAAGTTAGGCTGAATCTCAAAGATTTGAAGAGAGCAATAGCATGAAAATTGGGAAGAAAAAATATCAAAGCAAACATCACAGTGAAGTAAGAAGAGAGAGAATGAAATACGGACCAAAGAGTATAGGGTCCTATATTTCTCTATCTAGGATACATTACACGTGTTTCATAGAGTACACGCGTCTCACACTGGTGTTGAACTTCAGTGTACAATTTAAACAGTTTCCCCTAAATTTAATGGTAAAATTACATAATTATCTTTGTTAAGTACAGTAAAATATATATATAATAAAACAAAGACACGTGGGGCCTTAAAAGAATTTACACGCCAAGTTATAATTAATACTTATGTATCATCAATGCTAGTACAATACTTGTTGAATAAAGTGGGCCCTAACATAGTACAACTTAGATGTTAATACAATAGTTGTTGAATAAAATGGGCCCTAACATAGTACAACTTAAATTACATTAAGAACAACTTTTTGGAGTTGTGTTAGTCCTTCACAACTCCCTCTTCTAAATAAGGATAATATATAGATATAGATTTGGCTGCCCTTTATTACTCTTTTTTATTCACGTTTTGTTTGTCTGTATTTTATTAGAAAAAATCTTATCATTCTTAAGTTAAATTTGGGTTATTTTGTTTGTCTTTTTATTGATTTTTTCATATATATATATATATAATGGGTTACAATTTGTAATGTATGAATTAGACGATTATTGAGTCTGAAGTGGATTGCAAATAAAAACTGAGTTCATTACTCAGAGATCATCCAAAAATTCAAAATTACCTAGCAAAATATGTTTCTTTTTGTTGGTAATATAAACACCGCTTAACCATGTCTATTTACTTACAAAGTCACTCAACTACTTAAATATTTTTGTTTTAACCTCTAAATTGTCAACTTTGTTATTTTTTTAATAATATGATTGAACTTTAGGCAAAAATGATTGAAATTGAGCAGTCATATATAACTTCAAACTTTGTCAAGTTTAAGCTCTGACATTGCATATTTGAAGTGATAATATATGTAGTTCTTTTTAAAAAAAAATATAGATACACGTTTAATGGAGATGTTAAAACAGATTGTCTTATGAAAATTTTGTCATAAATCAGCCAGTCAAAATAAAAAGTTGTGTTAGTCTTTAACTTTTATTCTTCATGATTAAAAAAAGAATTCACAGGACATAAGTTTATATCTTTACATTACAATATCTTTTATATTATGTCCCATATTTAAAAAAAAAACTTAATACTCATTAGACATTTATTCGATTACGAAAAACAAAAATTAAAGACTAGACAAATCGTACAATTAAATGGGTCAAAAGCAATATGAGTCCATAAAATATTGGGCTTACCTACATGGGTCAGTTTTGGGTTTATTTGGGCCTTGAAAATAAGATTTGTTAATTCTACTGAATTGCTTCTTCTCTGCTCCCGCCGTCACACCGCCGTTACCGGCAGCGAGTAAAAATCTCCGCCGCCGTCGACCTCCACCGTTGCTCCGTCATCTCACTGCAACTCCTCCACCTCCGCCGTGAACCGCCATTAACGGAATCGAGAAAAGCCATCATCTTTGCTCCGTCATCTTACTGTAACTTCTCCTTCTCCGTCGTCACACTGCCGTCGACGGCGAATCCACTCAAATTGTGCAAAATATGGAAGTAGAGAGAGTTTTTATTGGAGCAGGGTGTAATAGAGTAGTGTATAACGTTTCATGGGGTGCTTCTGGTTTAGTTTCTTTTGGTGCCCAAAATGCTGTTCCCATTTTCTGTCCAAAGGTTCTTCTTTTTCCACTTTCAGCTTGAATATTTGTATTAATTTTTTGAAATTTATGTTTGTATATTTCTTAATCAGACAGCTCAAATCTTGACTACTCTACCCGGTCATAAAGCTTCTGTGAATTGTACCCTTTGGCTTCCCAATAGCAAGTTTGCATTCAAAGGTACTGCCTTTTTAAAAAAAAAGAACTTACAGCCTGTTTGGATGGTTATTACCAATTGTATTGTATTATGTTGTTAGTTTAAAATATAATGTTTGTTTTGATTGTTCCTTAAATTTTATTTTATTGTAGCGTTAAATTCATCTTTAGGTAATATAAGATTGATTTGGTGGGATCGCATGTTACCATTTTTTACCTTACAGCCTGTTTGGATGGTTGTTACCTAGTGTATTGTATTGTGTTGTTAGTTTAAATTTAACGCTCGTCTTGATTGTTCTTTAATTTTTATCGTATGGTAGCGTTAAATTCATCTTTAGGTAAGACGAAACGTCTCATTTTGTATAAAACCGATTTGGTGGGATCACATGTTACCTTGTATTGTGTTGTTAGTTTAAATATAATGTTTGTTTTGATAGTACCTTAAAATTTTATTGTGTTGTATCATTTAATCTTTAGGTAAGATGAAAAGTCCCATTTTGTTTAAGACCGCCTTGGTGTGATCTGTCATTCCCTTTTTTTTTTCTCATTTTGTTTTTTTCCTATCATATTTTATCCTTAACCATATTTTTTATGGTAACTCCACCCCATACCCTATTTTTACTTGTAGATTTATCCTTCAAATTATTGATGTGTGACATTATGTAACAACGGAAAATGATTTAATCTATCCGGTCATTGTATCCATCAAAATAATGCAATACGAGACATTATGAAACAACAACCATCCAAACAAAGTGTTAGATATTTTTTTTGAAACTGGTAACATGTAACAAAGTGTTAGATATTTGTGCTTATATTTGGCCTTGATACAGTTGTTCCAACATAGTTAGTTAGGTTGCAGAATTGGAGAGTTAGGTGATGGAAGCTAAGTACTCCATTTTAATTTATGTGTTATTTTCTTTTTTAGTCTTCGTAAAAAAGAATGCCTCTTTCTATATATACCAACTCATTAAATCCAACATATTACATGTCATTTTTAAGATCACAAGATTTAAAAAATCTCCATTACTTTCTTAGCGTGCATAGTCAAACTAAGACACTCAAATTGAAACGGAGGGAGTATAATTTGTGTTGCTATAAGTGGTGTAAATAATGGTTTCATTAACTAATTAGGTTACTTCTAACTTATTTTACTAGTCTAGTCTTAGTTATAAAAGTTAGTGGTTGTGGAGGACTAGTATCATTAGCTGTTCATATTACAATACTTCAGCTGAAAAGCAGGGGATGAAAGATCTAAGGAACCTTAATTTACTAATATTATGTTAGATCTTTTCCTTACTCATAATTTTTACCCTTTTTTCCCCGAGTATGGCTTTTGCACTTAACTTAGTTGTTCTATAACATTCAAAAATTACCTGCTTCATTAATCACCTTTTCTGTCGAGTCGCTAAATATGTAAATATTTTACATGTCTTTCGGGAACAGCTTCTACCTCCATGAGGTAGGGGTAAGGTCTCGTACACTCTACCCTCCCCACGCTCCCTGTACCCCACCTGTGGGATTACACCGGGTATGTTGTTGTTGTTGTAATGACTGGATATTCAAGCTAAATGTAAATAGTTTGCTAAATGTACAAACAATGAGCAATTTATAAAACGTTCTTTTTCCTTATTGTTGGTGAGAGAAAAGCTGTAATTATCTCTTTTTATTTGTGTAGTGTATTATTGAATATCACCTTATAAGGTAATGTTAAGTTTTGCATACACACTTCCCTTCTCAGACCCCACTAGGAATATTGTTGTATTAGTATTATTGAATATGAGAACGCACCCAATTATTTCCTTTTCTAGAGAAGTTTTTATTTCCTTGCTTCTATGAACAAATGTTCCGAAGGTTTGTCACTGCAGCTTCTATCAATTATTAAGTAAAGCTTTGTGTATTGCAGCTAAGCAGCTGTAACAACATTTTTTGCTTTCTGGAGATGCGGAAGGTGTAATAATTTTGTGGGAGTATTCTCTTGTGGATGCGAAGGTAGTCATTTGCTTGTTCCAACATTCTCTTGTTACACTACACTGATTCCCTCAACCCCCAATAGGAAAGAATGATATACTAAAAAATGTTTCATTTTCTTGGATTGAGAGAGAAAAAGATAGTTTGAGATGGTAAGCCAGTATCCTTGAAACTTATCACCAAGACTATAGAATGGACAGTTAAAATAGCTACAATTTGTTTTCTGATTTTCTTATTATTCTTCTTAAAGGTGTATTTGCCTCTTTACCTTTCTCATCAAAAAAATGTATTTGTCTCTTTACCTTTTTCATCAAAAACATGTATTTGCCTTTAAGTCCTTCATATTTTCTTGTCTTAAAAACACAATGCTAATATAGCATCTCTTTTCTCTGAGTCCTGAATTTTCTTTTGTCTTCCTTGAGTGGGTAAAAGAAGGCATTTAGTTGTAGTCTTTGCTTGAGAATTTAAAGAAACAACACTTGATTAATGTTCAATTACAGCCAGTTCTCCTGCTTGACTAATTATATTTTTGCCGATAGTGAAGATATGTCTTACAAGTGCCACATGCCCACAAAAAAGGTGTTACCTGCATCACGGCGATCATGGTGTCTCAGCAAGAAGCTGTTTTTGCATCTGCATCCTCTGATGGCACTGTGAATGTATGAAGTGTTTTTTTCATGCTCTTTGATCTCATTAACTCGCTTCATGTACATTTCGTTGTTGTGCTTTCGTGCTGGCAGTTCGGGGATCGATGAACTGGGAAGAGATTGGCTGCACTTAGAAATCCTTGAAGTCAATATCTTGGACTAGTTCTTATGGAGTTTCACCATATATAAAACATGATTACTGTCAGTTTTATGTACATAATTTTGCTCCAAAAATGCTGTGATGCATCACTTGTTGGTCTCTTCTTTGAGTGATAAATGGTTGTCCAAAAGCTACAAACAATGTATTTGTCATTTGATAAAGTCAATCCTGGCATGACCTTCTTTCATCCCTTGTCATGAAATTTTTTACTTTCATGTGCTAGTGTGTGTGCATTTTGTTTAATAATGGTGTTATCCAGAAGCAACCTATGCAAACCTCGATTATTTCACCGGGTACCTATTACCTCCCACCAACATAGGTATTGGGCAACTGTGCCACTGGTGGTTAGGTATTGGGCAACAAGGAAGAGTTGCAACTTTTATGAA